TCTCACATAATTATAATAATTTTGTCATATAAATTTAAAGTATATTATTAACTAAAATATTAAAATAAAAATTATTACTTAAATACTTTTTTAAAAAATATATGAATAATAATTATAATTTCAAAAATATTATACAATTTTTTAATTATTATAAAAATGTTATATAATATAGTTAAAATATATTTTTAATATAAAATTTTTAAATAATTAAATTAATTTTTTTAAAAAAATATGTAATTTTAATGAAAAAAAATTGTTATATGAATATAATTTATATAATATCCTATTGGTATATATTAAATAAAATAAAATATTGTAGTGATGTTATCTTATTTTTATCATGATGTATACCAAAATAAGATTAATATTTATCCTATTTTTATCATACTCTACTCTTGTTTTATCTTATTCTCGTCTCATATCTTATTTATCCTAATCACCAAACAACCTTTTAATGTTATAATAATTTATGTAATTAACTTTGCATATGAAAATTTCATCAAAATTACCCTTTATGCATAATTAATCGTCCAATTCAATTGAAAACTATTCCTACCGTAAGTCTGCTATCATCGTTAGGATCACCGCATAAACTACCCTCGGTGAGTTAAGGAGGAAGAGTGTTTATAAACTACCCTTAGTCTCGAATAATACTTTTTGTTTCTCGTAATAATCCCTACCCAGTGAAGATTTGAGGAATAGTCAAATAACTTAATGTTAGTACACCTCCATTTAGTTAACGATATTTTTTCACTTTAAATAATTTTTTATCATAAAATCTAAAAAATATATATACTCAAATCCTAAAAACGTTAAACTGTCAAACAAATAAATAACACATTAGATGACTTTAAAAATAATGATCACAAAACATAGTTTTCAATGATATATTAACATCAAAAGATTTCTTGACAGCATAAAATGTCTTTCACAATGAATTTTAATTAAATCCTCAAATCATTTGTTTCATAAATAACTAATTAAAAATCATTAATATGATTTTTCAGGTAATTAAATGGCAATGTATGATTAGCTTATCAAAAACAAAAATGGCAATGTATGATTAGATTACAGTATCAATAACCTTTACACGGTCAATACATCATAATTAATTCTTTTGGATCACAACTGCACTAAAATGTCTAAATTTTTATCCAAATTCTAAAAGTTTACACAGACAAACAATTACAATGACACCCTGAATAAGACTTAAAGTAATTATCACGAAAATAAACTATTTTTAACGATATAACAATTTAATGATACCCATAAGCCCTTCTAATTAAAAGAAAGCCATCTATCGAAAGCTGACCAATTGTTGCTTAAAAGCCGTAGATAATTATCATTTTGAAGACCTGACATTACCAAAATACAGACACCAGAAATTCTCATCTTCATAAAAGTGTTTCTGCTACAGAAACAAAATTTAAAAACTCGTTTCTCAACTTTAACTCCCTTTAAAAGCTGTAACGGTATCAAAGTAACACAGTGAGTATCTAATGTGATCCACAGCATAGACAGTTAAACCTATTCAGCTAACCTTGTCCTTTTGGACAGCTGAATGAAAATAAACCCACATGTACACAGAGAGCAAGCAGCTACATGCTATGGTAACATTCATCCTATTGACACACACATTTCAGAAAATACGAAGGGAAAACTTGTAAAGATTTTCAAGGAAACAGTTAATACAAAAAACCCAATGGTTCTGAGAATCAGATTCATGAAAACACTGGTTTCATGTTAGTATGTAAACGACCCATGATTCAACCATATAATGCACGCCATGGCTCCTTGCTTTCCCCTTTTGTCTTTTCTGGATTCCATACCACTTTGTCATGTGAAAAATGCAATCTAGTAGAGCTAGCCAAAATCTCACCGATCATGTGGATTATCTAGCACAAACCATCATAAATTAGCTGTTGAAGATGGACCCATTTATTGTATGTAATAAAAAGGATGCCAAAACTTTTTCGTCCTTGAAAAAAACATTCTTTCGTTCTTGCAAAATGAAAATAGTAGGAAGGTTGCCACATGGTACAGTATCCACAAGGCCAGCAATTTTCAAAATAATAGATAATTTTTTATAGAAATCAACTAAGATATGGGCAAATGAATACCTCATGCTGTTTGGTGGATTTATTGTCCAAATATTGACTAGCTTGTCCAATTAGAAAAAAGGTCGGTATCTGCATTACATTAACCAAGTGAAGAAAACATGCAAAAGTTTCATGTTGAATCTGTAACGAAGATGGTAGCTCCTGGGTTTTGTTGAGTAAGGCCTGTGCTATCTCTGTATTTTGACCAATCTGTATACGAAATATTAAAGATTTGCTTTCATCTGATCTTAGGGCTTTACTTTGCCTTTTAACCTTGGATGATTCCACCAAAAATGGCACCAAAAGTGTAGGGGGCAAGGATGATTTATCTGCCGTAATTTTATCAAGGACCTCATTAAGAGCACAAACTAGTACTGGTGGCTCATAATGCTCCATAGCCACAATTGACACCTGGAAATGAAGAGTTTAACAGAATCAGATGTATGTATCTCTAAAAGGAAGATTAAAGCACAAGGATAACAAATAATAATTTGTAGGTTTAAGTTTGTAAGAGAAAACTATTTCTCAAAAAAAATATTCTTTTGTTTTTCTGTTAGTTAAAGTAAGATAATACTATTCTCTGTTTGCTTTTGTATTTTCGTTTTTGATTCTGTTAGCTTTTTGATATAACTGACTGCATATCAGTTATAACAAACTCTCTTGGACTCACTCCTCTACTATAAATAGGGTTCTTGTACAGAGGAGTGCACCTTTTTGTATTATCTACTACATTCAGTAATAAGATCAAATGATACTCTCTCAGTTTAAATTGTAATATTGTTCCCACTACTTGTAATGTTTCCTTTTCAAATATATATGCCTCTAAGAAAGATGTTTCTTTTCTTACTTGGCATAGTAAATTAGGACATCCAAATTTACATGCCTTACAACTAGTTTTATCTCGATGTAATATACCCATACCAAATAAAAGTACCTTTGATTTTTGTTCATCATGTTATGCAGGGAAGTCGCATCACTTACCATCACATTTATCTACTTCTACACATCAATATGCTCTTGACGCTTATTCACAATTACTTGGCTTTATCTTTTAAAGTCAAAGGCTAACACATTTGATGTCTTTAAACAATTCAAGAGCATGGCAGAGCTGCAATTTGGTCATCCACTCAAAGAAATTCAAACAAAATGGGCGCCAAGAATTTAGACCTCTCACTAATTATCTAAAAGTTTGTGGTATTCTTCACAGGGTGATGCATCCTCATACACATAATCAAAAATGGTGTTATTGAGAGAAAACACTGACACATTGTGGAGCTTGGACTAACCCTTCTACAACAAGCATGTTTATCCATCTCAAAAAGGTTTATTCTCTTGTTTTTCTGTTAGCTAATGTAAGAGAGTACTATTTCTCCGTTTGCTTTTGTATTTTCGTTTTTGCTTCTGTTAGTTTTTGATATAACTGACTGCATGTCAGTTTTAACAAACTCTCTTGGACTCACTCCTCTACTATAAATAAGGTTCTTGTAAAGAGAAATGCACCTTTTTTGTATTTCTTACTACATTCAGTAATGAGATCAAATGTTATTCTCTCTCTCAGTTTATTTCTTGAACAAAGTTTAACCATTAATATGATCTAAACCTAATTGCTCAGAGTAGCAACTCCGAAGACAAAATTATTAGAAAAGTGGTACTGCAAGTTACAAATCATTGGCACCAATATTAATTGATAACTAGAAATTAACAAACGAATAAGTATACATGTCAATAAGTAATAGTAAGCAGTTATACATATGTCTCTGGAAGAATAATTCACCACTCTTGGCAATGAAACCACCCCATTTTGGGGTGGATTAGGGTAGAGAGAGGAGAGAGATAGAGAAAAAAATGAAATAGTAGAAAAATAAAGTGATAAATATGATATGCCATATGATAGAAAAGGTAGAGGGAGATAGAGAAAAAAATGCAGTGGAAGTTGTAAAAGAGTGGAATGCATGTTTATCATTACTCCTTTCCAACAGGCAATATTAATTCTAGAGAGAACTGTAATGCTAATTCTAAAGATAATAAGAGTTTAACAGGGTCAGATGTGTATCTGAAAGGAAGACTAAAAGTGTATGGATAAGAAATTATCTTCAATCTTAATATGTAAGATTTGGCCATTCACATGCTCACAGTTGCATGCCTATTTTCTCAAAGACATTTAATGTGACACAAAATTAGCAGAAAAAGTAGCAAATCATTGACATCATAATGATAAATAATAGTAACAATCAAATAATCATACATTCTAATAAGTACAAGAACCTAGCAACAGGTCTATATGATAATATGTCCACATTTATTTGCTTTTGGAGATCTTATTTTTTTAATGAAATGAAATGCTAGTTTAATTATTTTTCATAAATAGGAGAAAGAGAGCAAGGATGGGGTATGTATTAGCCCATTGCTTCCACTCTTGTCAAATAATGATGCCGTGTAGCCACAAAAGAAATATTGAAATTTATGTCATTTCATTTGAGGGCAAATAATAAATGGTGAAATTGAGTAATAGTTTTACAAAATCAAGTGGCAGCTCATAAATATTTTCAGAAAGCCAATCCCAGTTGAGAAATTTATCCAATTAAAAGAAAATACTAGAGTGTATAGTTGTCTAAGTTGAAGTGTAAACGTAACAAAGATCTAAAATCATGTCCTCAAGTGAAAGAGTATCAAATTAAGCCACAAGATTTAAACCTGATGAATGAATCAGTCATAAGTGGTAAATTCTATCTTGAGAGTAAAACTAGCCATAGGTGAAGAGAAAAAATTGATTTCATTCACTCAATCTCCTCTTTATAAGCATTGAATCTATTCATCAATCTTATCAAAAGGTTGTATAAGAACAGTATAGTCCAGCCACCTTAGAACTATTTTGTGACCATTCAGCAGCCAACCACCTCTATCTATACCCAAATTTCATATCCAACATTTGAAGAAAAATCAAATGGTGTGTGGAGCCCCTTACACAAGGTAGACAAATACAATTTCTGACAGTGCATTTCAAATAAAACCTACAGAGAGGCCTTCTCTTTCGTCTCCATCTTAACTCTTCAGCCGCGAGAGACTCAAATTTTTAATAGCCCGAATAACTGAAGACACCCTCCCAAGGTTTCAACTACCTTTTCACACTACTCACCAGAATTCATTCAAATGAAAGTTTCATTCAAAGATGTGATTACACAAAAGGGGGTTTTCTTTAACCCTAACACTGACCAAGATTCCACAATTAAAGCTTAGGCCACTCAACAGGGAACCCATATGAAATGTGCATCATGTAACCACTATTCGTAATTTGGGGATAGACCTAACTCAACTCCAAAAACTAACTCGTTGATCAAAGATTATTTCCTACTTATATACATTATTTTGACTCTATCACTAGTTAAAGGCTTAAAAGCAAGGATCTTTAACACGATTCATTATCATTTCATTAAAACATCCAAATGGGTACCCTATTTTTGTGCTTGTATGAACTATTTACTCTGGGGTAGCAATATATGAGGAAAACGTAAAAAGGGTGGTTGAGGGGGTTAACCTTATAAGCGCCGCGATCATCAACGAAGTGAGAAACGTTCCCTGACGCATTGAGATGCTTCATTCCATAGCGCTCCAAGGAGAACTCGAAGGATTCTTCTCTGCAACAAAAGAGGAGTGAACGATGAGTGAAGAAAAAGTGAAGGAGAAGATGGGGAAGATAAAGTTACCTGCGGGTGAGGGGGGAGGAAGGGTTAGGGTGAAGAGCTTGTGAGATGGCCTCCGTGTCTCGGAACGTGAACACTGTGATGGGCGCAACCTTCATTTCAATCTCTCTTTTCTCTTTTCTTGCCAATGGATTGAGAATTCAGGATCGACAGAATAGAAGGAGCAAGTGCAAGTGCAAGTGCAACAAGTTTTAACATGAATGTGTACACTGTACGGTAAGAATGATTTATAATAAATAATTATATATTTTTAATGTATAAATTTTATTATAATTAAAACTAAAAGAAATAATAAATAAATAGTCTTAAATTTTATTATAATTAATTTTTAATTTTTTTAATATAAAATATCATATGGTACTCAACTAAGATTTTTTTTTATGAAAATATATTCAATTCAAAAAATTTCACCTAAAATATATCTAATGATATATATATATATATATATATATATATATATATATATATATATATATATTTAATGAAATATTTTGTAATATGAATTTTGTAAGAGTTTCACTAGAAATTATACATAATAGACTCATTAGGCCGGACCACTCAAACTCTTAAGATTTTGATTGATTTTTTATTTGTCTTTTTTACTTTCTTTCTTTTTATTTTTCCTTTATTTCCTTAATCATTTTTCTTAATGACACCTTTTTATCCTTAAGGCGATATCATAAAACTTTTATTAAGAAAACATTTTTTAATTTTTAGATGACAAAAAAGTGACTTCATTAATACTTCCTATAAAAAGGGTTCACATATAAAAGACAAAACTTCCTCAAAGTAAATAAGGAAATAAAAAAAAACAAGAGTTTATAATCAACGCTCAAACTGGTCTTTTATAAAACCTCCAAATAAGATTAAAAAAAAATTCTAAACTCCATCCATAACTAAACAAAATAGTATAAGATCTTTTAACCCCCAATATCACACTATCAAAGCAAGACACCAAAACATCAAACTAAAGCACTAATCTTTATCTCCCTCATTTTGGGCCTCATATACTTGATTTACTCCTACATGATGATCATAGAGACTTGCTAGGGACTCCCTAGCATAACTCTGCCAAAGTCTAGGTAAAAGATTATAGAGACCCTATTGCATAGATTCACACCACCTCCCAAAGAAATTATCCATGCAATGCATGGACTCCAGCACAACATTCTCAATAAAACAACTATGCAATTTTAGTAATGTCTCAACCCAAAAATTTTCGATCTCACAACTAATGGTTTAGATATCCTTTTAAAGATCTCATCAATTAAGGAATGTTCGGACACCAGACTAATCCTTAATTAATGATTTTAAAAAATGAGTTCATGGAGTCGCCACCAATGTTTTACTCAAAACATTAGAAAAAGAAAAGGTTTTTAAAAATCCAATAATGGCCTTGATAACCAAAATTGGGTTCAGGGGTCGATTACGTGTAAGGAAGGTATTAAGCACCCGTACAACGCCCTCAATTGGTACCCTATGATGAAGTTAGTGTTGTAAACAATAATAATGTAAATATTAAATCCCCTTTTATTAATAACTATTTACATGCTTAAAATTTAAATTATACAATTGACCCTAAAATGTCTACATGATTGCTTTTATTATAAACAATATTTATTATAGAAAAGAAATAAAAAAAAAAGAAAGAGATTAACTGAAATACCTCTTGAATGAGCTCTATTGAATCTTCAAAACAGGAAGATTTTAGGTGCTTTGTGACAACCTTTTCACACTCCAATGCCTCACAAAATCTCAAGAAATACAAAAGAGAGAGGGAGAGAGAAAAAGAGAGAAATTTCGAGCTCTAAGGAGTCTGGACGAAATTTTGGGGTCTGGAGAACTGTAGGCGAGAATTTTATTTATAGGCATCAGATGTGGGCCGGAACGGCCCGTTCTGGATTTGGGACAACCCGTTCCAAATCCGAACGTTATATATTATTTTGTACCCTAGAACGGCCCATTCTGATATCAGAACGGCCCGTTTCAGAAAACCAGAACGGCCCGTTCTGAAATGAGAACGGCCCGTTCTAGGGTACAAATTAATACTAAATTCCCCATTCCATAACGACCCATTCCAACCTTGGTTTGTTAGGCCTTTTTAACCTTTTGGAACGGCCCGTTCTGGTCTAGGAATGGCCCATTCCAAGTCAAGTTTTTAGGCCCTTTGATTGGTTTGGAACGGCCCGTTCTGGTCTAGAATGGCCCGTTCCAACCTACAATTTTTAGGCCTTTTAGGAGCCACGAAACGGCCCGTTCCAATTCTAGAATGGCCCGTTCCGGACTTGGGAACGGCTCGTTCCGAATTTGGAACGGCCCATTCCGGGGCACTAAAAATAGTGTATTTGGCTTTTGGGTCCTCTGATGTCCTATCCTGTTGTTTGTATGCCCCTGGACGAAATTGGGTGTCTACAGCTGCCCCTCTTTACTTGTCCTTTGGAATAGTAATGTGTTACTTTTCCAAAGGCAAGTATAGACGTAGACATTTCGTCCGGGTCTTCTGTTCATCTCTTTGGTGCTTCTACGTTGTTTTCCTTGGATATGTGTATTTGCTCGTATCCTCACCCTTTAATGTAGTTGAGCATTGATTGCGTAATCTATTGGGTAACAAGGTTGACGAACTGTACACCTGACCTTCGGTCTTCAAGTAGATGCTCCATTGTTTCGACTCTTAATTGTTACTCTTGCGATAGTGAGGTGGAGATCTGGTTCTTCAACCTGCTAATGTTGAGTATTGTTGTGTCGGCCTATCCAGGTCGCCTGCTAATGTTGTGAGTATTGTTGTGTCGGCCTCTCCAGGTTTCCTGCTAATATTGTGAGTATTTTTATACCGGCCTCTCCAGGCCGCCAGCTGATATTGTGAGTATTGTTGTGCCGGCCTCTCCAGGCCGCCTGATGATACTGTGAGTATTATTGTGTCGGCCTCTTCAGGCCGCCTGCTGATTTTGTGAGTATTATTATGCCGGCCTCTCCAGGCTGCCTGTTGATATTGTGAGTATTATTATGTCGGCCTCTCCAGGCCGCCTGCTGATGGTGAGTATTATTGTGTCGGCCTCTCCAGGCCGCCTGTTGATGATGAGTATTATTATGTCGGCCTCTCCAAGCCTCCTGCTGATGGTGAGTATTATTGTGTCGGGCTCTCTAGGCTGCCTGCTGATGGTGAGTATTATTATGTCGTCCTCTCTAGGCCGCCTGCTGATGGTGAGTATTATTGTGCCGACCTCTCCAGGCCGCCTGTTG